AAGTATTATTTCATTTTATATTTTATAAATACAGCCAGAGAATATTTACCATTGATGAAACCAAAAAAATCGCCCACATATCGTCCTTTTGAACTTTGGAAGATCTTACACGTAATAGTTATTCGATTAATTTAAGGGGAGCATGTCGGTCAAAATTTTGGATTTTGGCTTTTCCGGTTTTTAGTCTGATCTTAAAGCTGACATTCTGAACTATCTAACGGTACCACAACCGTCTCTGTACGTTGATTTATGCGTTCACTACAGATTCCGCACGGAAGGGAGGTGGGGGAGTTCTTGAACAAATTACATCAGGGAAAATTAGTAAATAGAGTGGCTGGTGGAGCAAGACTGCATGAGCTCAGTTACCCTCCTGTCGTCGTTCGAAAAAGTGTGCTAGCAGTCGCTCCCACTATCCTTGACTGGTACAAGCTCCAGTAACGTTTAGTTCGTATCCTTGATACATTGAGTGGCTATTCGGATGCGCGCGGGACATTATTTCATTTTATATTTTATAAATACAGCCAGAGAATATTTACCATTGATGAAACCAAAAAAATCGCCCACATATCGTCCTTTTGAACTTTGGAGACAGACGTGGAGTGGCCACATGTTTGGAAGATCTTACACGTAATAGTTATTCGATTAATTTAAGGGGAGCATGCCGGTCAAAATTTTGGATTTTGGCTTTTCCGGTTTTTAGTCTGATCTTAAAGCTGACATTCTGAGCTATCTAACGGTACCACAACCGTCTCTGTACGTTGATTTATGCGTTCACTACAGATTCCGCACGGAAGGGAGGTGGGGGAGTTCTTGAGCAAATTAGATCAGGGAAAATTAGTAAATAGAGTGGCTGGTGGAGCAAGACTGCAAGAGCTCAGTTACCCTCCTGTCGTCGTTCGAAAAAGTGTGCTAGCAGTCGCTCCCACTATCCTTGACTGGTACAAGCTCCAGTAACGTTTAGTTTCGTATCCTTGATACATTGAGTGGCTATTCGGATGCGCGCGGGACTTTGTCAGGCCCTCCAGTCCTGCCTGAAGGCAGTACACAAATTCACACTTTTTGTCACGGCAAACACATCTCCTCCTAGAGTTTTGAAGCTACAGCGATGAGAGACACACCATTCGATTCGTAATGAAAAGATCTAGCGATTGTCGAGCGATTTTTTTGATTTCGTTTTAGTTTGGATTATATATTGCAAAATGGGGGTGGGGAATTGGGGGAAATTTCGAAAATTTTCAGAAAAATCATCATAATAAGAGAACCAAAAAAATTAAAAAGTGGCGCGACAATCGCTAGATATGGTCTTTTCACATCGAATGATGTCTCGATGTTGTAGCACGATATTTGTAGGAGGAGATGCATTTTCTAAAGTACCCCCTTTTTGGCCGTTTTCTATGAATTTCACGTTTTCTTTAATTTTTTCGAAAAATTCACATGAACAAAATAGTCGTCATTTTCGATTTTACACATGTATACCAAGTTTTGGAGATGATCCTTCCCTAAATATATAAAATAGATTTTGACCGACTTGCTCCCCTTAAACTAAGTTAATCGTACCCTGGTTGGAATTTTCAGAGGCCGTGAATATACATTATTTTGTGTTTTTTAATGAGAAATTGAGGGTAACTGCGCTTCATTACGTATGGTTGAATCCTTTGCAAAAAATTCGTATAAACATTACCATCTGATAAAATCGATCATAAAACTTATTCATTAAATTTATTTGGGCTCGCTCACTGGCAACGCTAAAAATACTTTCAAAACGAATTCAGTCTATGAAGATATATGATGTCTTCACCATTTTTTATACATATTATAAGTGTGTTTTTCTAATTTTATAATTGTGGTTCACTCATAGCTCAACCAGTAATTGCAATTAATTCTTTTAAATTTAAATATTCATTTTCATATAATATTTTAATCAGATGGAATATCGTCACGTCTGGTACAAAACTTCAAGGGTTCGTTGCAAACTTAGGAACTGCGAATTCTCCTGCCTGACACAATGGTATGCCCTGTGTAGAAGTTGTCTCTTTTTCGCAACTAGAGAATTCTGAGAAGAATGCAGATATTATTAATGATTCTGGAAGGAATTTTACGTTAATAAAACCTGCCAAATTTTGGATAAATTACGATAACAATAATAATTACACTTTGTATTGCAGTTTGGCTGATGATTTATTATTTTTTGGGTCAGGCTTATTTACATCTTTAAATTCAAGCAAAATCTCATTATACGAACAAATTACGACGCCGGATTCGTGGACGACTTTGAGTCGTTCCGCATGCTATAAAAAGTTCATAGGCCTCTTTAGGATGTACATATCAGGGCTGCATATGGGGCAGCAACCAGAAACTATTTAATTGTCGGGAGTTCGATGTGTCATGTTTGCTACGTTAGGCTTCGTGGACGCGTTATGTCCGAGTCCATATAATAAACTGGCTTCTGCCTTCTTCCATAATGAATCATAAACAAAGCTGATGAAATACGGGCATTTGATTGAAAACATTATACTACTAGAAAATTTGTGAGTATTTTATTACGAATAGTACAATGGAAGAAAATTTTTTATACATTGACTTCCTGTGAATCAAGTCCCTGCACCTATTTCCATATGATTCATCCGCATTACAATAAAGACTATTTGTAAAATCGTCTTTCATTTAATGCATACCACATAAAATTCCACCAAGCAAAGGTTTTGGAATTTCTCTGGGGAATTTGTGTTCTACTAACTACTACTACTAACTGCAACATAATTAGCGTCGTTTTGTAATGCTGCTTGTAAGTCAAATTTAAAAGTGACTTGTACTTTGTTTTTATACAAGGCCCAGCTAAGGGAAATGAACATACGATCACAGAATTATGCCCCTTGCTAACGATATTATCCTCCAGAAAAAAAACAGCCAATAAGCGCACGCCGGTTATGCATCCAAATGACTCAAATTCCATATATGATTCGAGCTAATGAATCGGAAAAAGGGCTTAATCCATACTACTAATTTTTTATTCTTTCTATGTGGTATCATGCATAATTAGCAACTGTGAAGACACTACGATCAGACGTTCCCCAAACTGCATCAAACTCAACTCGAGCAAAAGAAATGCAGAGCATCTACGAGCACAATCATTTCCTTCTAAGCTGCGTCTTGCACTGAACCTAAACTCCTCTGTTCTTCATTTTCAAATTTATGAATTTATATCAATAATCAATCAAGAGTTTTCGATGGACATTAAAATTTTAAGTCAATACTTTTACGTAGGTCATATATGCTTGCGGGGTTGAAGCTTCCACCAATGTGGGTGCTCCAATGAACTGGGCTAACCGGATTCATTCATGATTTTCCATGTTTATAAAACACAGCTGAGAACCAATATATTATGACGCTATATATAAAAAAGTAAAACTTTTTCATTCGAATCAACCATTATCCAGAACCCTGTCAAACATACATAAAATTTCATATAAATATTTTTCATTATATACGAGCTTTCGTTTAAAACTTCAGTTCCTTATAGTATGCAGAAACATTATAATAATGAGCTATGAAAGCAAATGTATAACACTGTTGAAGTTGTTGAAGTTATCGACTTAAGTACCATTATTTACGGTTTTTACTTTTAAACTTTTGTTACGTGCATCTTGATTGTTATTAAACTGAGAATTATCAAAAAGTTTCATGTGAATCTAAATTATCATACTATCATACTACAGTACACATGAAATGCAGCACACATGAAGTGCAGTACACATGAAGTGCAGTACACATGAAGTGCAGTACACATGAAGTGCAGTACACATGAAGTGCAGTGCACATGAAGTGCAGTACACATGAAGTGCAGTACACATGAAGTGCAGTACACATGAAGTGCAGTACACATTAAGTGCAGTACACATAAAGTATAGTACATGGTTCTGTCAACAATGTGTTATATACACATGTCCTGTACACATATATAATCAAGATTTGACCAAGTGCATATACCCATAATCAAGTTTGCTCGAAGTTCATTAAACACAAACATGATTTCGTGAAGAGGTCAACAGCACACTGTCAAGACTTCAGTCTTTGTGTTAGGCAGGAGCCTGTGCTTCAGTAGATGGTTCAAGTATGCCGTTGGCTTAAATACACCACAACATTCTTTCTACTCAAAGCAACATGCGAAAGACAGCGTTAACAAAATTTCAATTCAATAAAATAGTAAACTGGTTTCTGTTCTTCTGTTCGACTGACTGCGCATTGAGGCCGTTAAGATAATGAAGAAACAAGTCGCCAGCGTATGATGGTTATGGCAAATGGTACCCTCGTATATGCCGCTCTGGCGTAAATGCTGTGGTATTTGATCTCTTATATTGGAGCAATTGGCCTGATGGCAGATTGGAAAGAAGCCATACAACGAGATGGTCAATCAAGTTTTGGCAACTGATCTGACTGCACAATGATTTTCATTGACATTGCGATGCTATCTGACTTCATGGAATTGATTCAATCTGAACCTTATAACTGTAAATACTCGTGCGTTGCCTGATCATGTAATAGGCTAAGCTATTTATCGTCGTCTTTCCAGCGATGTAAATGATACCCAAATTTGTCAGTTAATTAGTTATAGCTGGTCTGGCCGAGTTTATAAATAATTTTTTGGAGAAGGCAAGGAGTTTAGAAACGGCAAGCCTCGCTACTATTCAAACGGAATCTAAAAAAATCAAGATAATTTAATTTCATTTATTAAATTTCAATGTTTTCTAAAACCAACGTTTAGTCATAACGAAATTATTAAACTATTTACTATTTATTAAATTCAAGCCTCTCCTTAACTGCATTCCAAGACTAATCTATTTCACTGATATTACCGTTCTCGGCCTAAACAAAAATTCTTGAACGTCCGTAAAGTTACACATACAAATATTGGAAAATTTAGAACGATTTTCAAATTCAAAGTATCACAATACTTTTCATTCTAGCTAATACAACCGTGTGTTATTTTCCATTAGGAAACCATGCTGCCTCCTGAGCTGTTCGCGCTGGACTCGTCCGCTTACTGCTTCTCCATCATCAGCAGAGACAAGGACTGGAAGAAGGCGGCCGTGTCCAGAGACTTCGGCGGCACCACCTACACCGTCCAGGCCTTAATACCACAGCGTAGAGAAGTCAACTCTACAGGCACGGTAAATTATAGTCAAGAATTATTCAAGATTGAGATGCGTTTCACTTCAGGCTTTTGTGCAGTGAAGATTATTAATAAGTATTCATTACTGTATGTCCATCACTAATAACCTAGACAGATGTTATTTTTGAACGTAAACAGCATGCTTCATTCTTTTTTTTTGTGAATATTATGCTTTCGTTGAATTTCGGTCTAGGCAAGGACGAGTGCACTTCAGGAGTCCGATCGCAGCGAGCACTTGGACGCTTTTTTGAAGATTGCACTTTACTAAATATTGAAAAAATAATCTAATACACTTCTTGTTGGAAATGATGATAAATGTTTTGCATTTTTTGTTGGACCATATTAACTGAACATCTAAATTCAATAGAATTTTTAGAACGATACGAAAAAATTAACAAAATCTTAATCTCTTCAAACTTAGTTCGGATATATCCCTATCAAACAACCCGAATATCTGCTGACGATTTTAAATAATTATTTAGAAACAAGCGGTGCTTCACTTGAGGCTATTTATAACCCTGCGTTCAGCTTAAAACTACGAATGAACTTTTCGGCTCCTTATTGTGAGAAGTAAGAGGCAGGCCTGCTTCACGCTTTTGCATCGGCGAAATTTTCCTGTCACGGAACTGCCAGCATGACGATGTGGAATTAACTACGAAGAAGAATCATTACAATAAAATTACGCGTTTATTATTTGAGTTTGGATCTGGATCAGGATTGTCTAGTATAGTTGTGGCGACAATTTTAATGATGCAATTATTCTTAGCGTTACACTTTGAAATGAATTTGCCTAAAATTTGGTTCTGCTTTCGTTCTCAATTAATTTTGAGAAAATATATGACCTTTCACGTGAATTACTGAATCAATGTCAGTGAAATATATCAGGTGTTCCTCTAGCTGGACTCCCTAATATAATAAGTAAATATAGTTCAACATATTCTCATGATCATTTGGATGAATCCGAAATATCGACTCAATATTATTTGTTATTACTTCATGTCATATACGAGGGTAAAATTGAAATTATTGAATGGGTAATATAATTTCCTCTTGTTCAACCATGCCAAGCATCAAGTACCTGTGGAACCGTGGGAAAATTTATAAATGAAAATAATCTGAAGATTTTGAAACTTTATAATAACGAGCGTTATTAATTTCGCTGAAGCTGAAATAGTGGTATTATATTCATTATATGTATTAAGCGTTTTATAAAATTTTATGCAAGCTCAGCTTCAAAGCAATACGATTCAAACGTGTTTTATTAAGTCTTAATCATCTCTAATAGTAGATCGAGCAGCAATTAAGGTTTGTTATTATATAGCTAGCGTAGTTAATTCTCTGCTGTATTGAAAAATCGATAGTTTATATAATAAGCAAATAGGTGATCTAGGCAAATGGTGTGGTGTAAGCAAATAGCGTGATCTAAGCAAATAGTGTGGACTAAGCATGAGTGTGGTCACATTGTTGTCTTAATATTTCTTTTTTACTCAGTCAAACCTGTACAAAAAATTTATGCATATGCTAACTACCTTTAACCAAGTGTTTAGCGTGGAAGACACCCCAGTACTAGAGCCACATTTACTTATGGAGCTTCTACGTCAACTTATTCCAATTTGTTAGGTTATGGCCGATGTTAAGTCGGCGCAGCTTCGAGAGAGCCTAGCAACAGAGCGCGACCGCGACCGCTGGTTGCGCTGCTCTGAGGCGGCCGTACGCTGCTGTCAGCGCATGCTGGAGCTCCCACCAAGTCCAGGTATTGTATTTACGCGGGAAATTGTATATTTCGAGCCGAAATCGCATAATTGCCGGTTCTATGGAATTGGCTGCCCGTTGCCGAATCTGTAGAATCACCATTTCTATTCTATAGGAATCTGAGGTAAGGTCATTCAGCCAAGATTTTTTTTTAATATTTAAATGAATAGGAACTCGACCCAACTTGACCTAACTTTTTCTAACTCTAACTTTCAATTTGTGTTTTAATTATAACCGATATTTATTTAAATATAACCGATATATTTAAATAAATATCCGTCCGACTTTCTGATACAGCAACGAAATGCTGGTTTTACTGATTCGGCAACTGGCTGCAGATTCCATTGAATCGGCAATTCCGCTATTTCGGCTCAATATATATAATACTTCTCTGACCTCTGACCTATCAGCTTCGAGAATAATTTGTTCTGAGACCATACTTACACGTTCCTGCTTGTTATACCACTATTAGTTTAGGTTATTCTTCACCAACCTCACCTCCATCAGTGTTAGAGAAGGCCTTGCTGGTATAGAATTGAATCTTATTGATAAATTTTATCGAATTTCAGTTGATCCGTAAAAGAGTTTAGGCCCGTCATGTCCAATACAAATAAGTACCTAGGCCATCATGTCCAATACAAATAAGTACCTAGTAATTCAGTCAGAGCCACTGCATGTTCTTGACCCTCATGAATTTGAATGAGCTCCTTAAATTGAAGCGGCTGACTGCAACGATTATTTCAATTTGTATCCGTTGGCTACAAAAATGAAAAACGATCTTTTCTCAATCCATATCTAATTGAAAAGGGAGTAAATATTTATTATTTTTTTTTTGCAAATTAGGGAAAACCTATAATTATTTAAAAAAAATTAATCATCAATTACTTTGGAGGACGTTGACTTGATTACGAGCTGATAGTGTTAGCATTTCGTAACTTGCCCCTTCGTTTGTTTCCGGTCAACCATTCATTGATTGCACTATAGCCACTTATTTTGACGAACTGATAGAAGTTTTTATTTTCATATTCACATTCACCGAAAGATGTATGAAAGATATTAAGACGTTTTATTAGACTTATTAGGAATATTATTAAATATTGTTGGCAGCCGTCAGTCGTGTTGAATCCGGCAAGTACGGCACTCATCAAATCAATGCAGTTGGATGAGGCAAATGAACAAATTTTTAGCTACGCAGGCGAAAAAACTCCCAGTGATTGTAGTCTTTTGAAACCGATATTCAACTATACCCAAGAGTTGCCGAGAGTTGAAAAACATAAACGTTCATGATTTTTTTCACTACTATTCCGAACTGTGCCTATGATTAATGTACACCAAATTGAATAAAGAGGATTGGGTCTATTTGTCGGGAATTGTGCGACGGTAACTTGTTTTATTTTTGTCTTTCAACTTTTCAATTGCATTGATTGTTTGACCGTTATTTTCCCCTCTGGTCAGTGCGTATTACTGGATGACTGAATTGAAGGAATTATTCTTAATCAATAATGTCATAAAATTGTCACTGCTCAGTAATATATTGCCTTGTTCCTGTGGTAACCGGGATAAGGACATCGCTCATTGGAATTTCTGGCAGGAGTCCAGTAAAATTTTTGTCACCGTGTTTCAAGTTTAGGAGAATTTTTTTCCGTATTTTGTTAGTTTTTTACCGTATATAATTTAATAATTACTTACACGTGCAATTATTTCTCTCGATATATTCCAGTTATTTCTGCGTTTATTAATTATAAATCATATTGTCCTAAATTTATTTGTCTCTGAATTTCTGAAGACAACATCGCATGTTTTTTCAGCGGGCTCGAATATGTGCCCGCGCACTTGGGATCAACTGCAGTGCTGGGGTGACACGCCTGCAGCATCCACGGCGTACGAAGACTGCCCCTCCTACCTCTTCTCGGAGGACACTTGCGGTCAGTGACAATCACTTATACGTCTCGAAGTTCACATTGATCATATATAGCCCTAACATCTAGTGAACAATATTACATGCAAAACAATAACTGTGAAAAGAACTGTTCAACACGTGTCAGACAGATTGAACATCGTTGCTGCATATACTCAGGAATTGTTTGATATTCAGGAATCGCGCAGCGGCTGAGAAGTTAGGAAATTAAAATATTTTTGCAATTTGTCTCAGAATGTTTGGTACATGCAAAACATTTTTAACACGTAACTAATATTTATGTAGAAATAAAAACATATACATATATGTAAAATATATTCATATTAGAGAAAGAAATGAGTTGTTGAATTTTTCATCTATTTCATGTAATTAGTGAATGCGTTGTAATTCGGCATTCCCCTTTTCAATTTAGTGACTGCATCATTCACTATTATGAGTCTACCCACATGGTCCCATTAGAAAACAACTTCTTGTTACAAAATGATCATTACATTCACGTTTGGGAATACATTACATTAGGGAAAGTTTTCTTAAAAATTAATTTCGATGCTCTAATAAACTTGATTTTATTTTTGTTTACTGACTTGATGCGAGTTAGTACAAATTTATGTACAAAGAAGTTTATGTACTGCAATCGATGAATAAATTTACCCAACTAAAAAATCTTTGTTAGTTTGAAATTTCACCCCGAGCATTCCGTTTATGTTTGAGGGCTGATCATGCTGGTACAAACATGCCGGTAAATAACCGTGTGTCCAGTCTCGCCCAGTCAGCACGCGATTTTGCTTCCTGCGATTGCCGTATTTTAAAAATAATATATTTTGATTCAGGAATGAATCATCAATCGGTAAAATTCTATAGAGACTCGAACACTGACACCAAATAACATGTTTGGCGCTATAATTATCATCGTGAAGCTTGATTTATTGACGAGGCTCATTTGGAAATGCCATGCAGGTTAACATTTTTCCTAAGTTCACCAGTTGATGAAATGTTTTGAATCCCTGTTCTCATATATTGTGGATATGTCAGGCTGATGTAAATTTGCAATTTAGTATTGAAACCTTTAACATCTGACTGTTCCAGTTTCATATCTGGAGTCACCGTCATTCAGCACATGTAATCAACCTCTTATGAGTCAAGACGGTTTTCAGCTTAGGCCCTCATTGTCAAGCAGTCATTAGAAACAGTGCATTGACAGTAATTTTCTGAGGATTGTACTTGGGAAAATTTTTATTGAATTTGATTAATTGATATATTCTATCAATTTAATAACAGCAAGAATATTCATTTGTTTAAGAATAATCCTGAACGCTCTCTATTCATTGGCAATTAATCAGTTGCCACACCTATACATATGTGGTTGCTATGAGTTATTTCTCTTCAGTGCTGACCCTTTCGATTGGGAAATTACCCTTTCCGATTTATGGCTCCAACAGTGCGCGGGCTGCACATCAAAGATGCTGATTTCACTAACTCGCAGTGGTGAAAATTCGTTTTAATTTATTATATTTCGTTCAGACTCGAAATAGTTTACGAATAACTACAGCTAATATAAAATATTAAATTACCAGTGAGTTTTCGTGCGTTTACATTTGTAATAATTAATGTATGTTTAATTAATACGAATTAAAATAGATAATAATTGTAAATGTGTTTACAATTAAGTTTGTGTGACAAAGTTTGTGGACAAAGTTCTTGTTCAAACATTTAAGTTTGTGGACAAAGTTCTTAGTTATTCGAATTCATTTCTCCAAAAATTTCGGCTGGGCTGAAGGGCAATTACTGAAACGGGACAGATTATGCTGAGATACTGCTATACAGTACCCGCTTAAGACGCCCTTAGTGCACCTGCATTAGGCGCTACTGCCGTTACAATTCTTCTGCTGAATAAATTTGGAATGCTAATATAATCGGCTTCTCGTGGCGATCATCGTGGTTCACTGTTTACCGTCTTGCTCCCTCAAGACTTGTGCATTATCAACTGTAACTGCATATATCTAGTAAATTGTGATTTTGTTCTTCTTAATGGTATGTTTCTGTCTCTACCATTTGATTGTATATCTGAGTTCGCTATACTCAAATACTTGTGTTTTGGCTCTTCCCCCCTACCCATCACGCTCCGAACCAAACAGACTTGTTTCAGAGGGTTAGGGGCACCAATCCACCCTTAAATAACGACTAGCCCATAATTATCACACCATCGACATTTCTCACCCCATCAAGCAACTGCATCAGTCATCAACTCAGCCTGACTGATCGAGACCCCAGGAACGCTCCACTAAATAAATAAGACTCACCGCGGCCAGATCCTTCACCTTTATACTGATGACGCCTCTGCCTTCGACAAATTGGCCGCCTAAAAAAGTCAACCACATCTTCAGCAAAATCCATCTTCATCATATATTACCCGAACCTTCCATCAAAAAAAACATATTTGCTAAACAAATTTAAAAACATTAAAAAAAAGACGCCTATGGACATGAAAGAAGAGATCCTACGGCTGCTGAACTGAATGCATGTGCAAGACATCATAAAATAAAGAACTACGCTCACGTAATAAAAATAATCAAAACAAACACCATTGTACATACAATGCATATATACTTAGCGACTGCTTCTACGTGTTCCAAACCATGATCACCTCAATTGATTCGTAATTATAACTCTTCAGTTGACAGAATATACTCAGCCAGAATTAATTTATGCAACGATCGTTGCAGTCGACAACTGATCACGTCCTCAGCCGGAATCAGGTCCTTTTTGGATCACTTCAGTCGATACCTGCTCTTGTACGCAACCAGAATTGATTTATGCTCAGATCGCTAAGTTGACAGCTGCTCTACACTCAGCAGTTTGTTGGTACTTCTTCGTCCCGGTATCATCTGATGAGACAGAACAGAATATGACGAGTTTTAATTTCAAACGATTCTTCACGCGCCCAAAAACTGGCCAACTTCACACTTGTTTAACTTCTTTTTCGGTATTTGCTCCACAGTTCTTTTTTTTTTGCGGCGACCCTGCAATCAAAGTTTCCGCAAGAGAAAGATTGGTTCACAGTCATCAGTATTTTAAATTTTTCAGCATTTCACATATTTCAGTATTTCAGATATTTTTCAATATTTCATCTTAATCTAGAAAGGGTGGCCCCAACCCCATACTTAACGGCGGCGTGCTACCCGGGCTGCATTCGGGGCAAGAAAGCTGATGCGAACGACGCCTCCTCGTACAACGGACCGCAATGCACAAATGCAGCCACTGAGAGTGAGAGAAGGCTTCCTCCTTCCTCAACGCTGCAATTCTCAAATAGCTCCTTGGCACGGAGAACTGGCAGTCGGCTAGCTACCTTTTTCGTAGAAAAGTGAGTCGTCCGATCACTTCCAAGCCCCCGCGAGTAGCAGCCAAACCGAATAGCACAGAAATTGCGACGAGACGAATTCGCGGAGTCGCTTCACATGTGGTAGCGATGTATCGTGGATACGCGGACCACTTAAAAGTTATTACAACAAAAAATGTTTTATTCAAGATTAATGCAACAAAATAAATGAAATGCCATTACTATCGTTTGGAATAATCCAGACAGTCATGCTCTGTAATGTTGTTACAAAAATAAAATGCATTTCGGAACATTTTGCGTAGATGTCAGCGCAAAACTTAACAGTTTTGCCGCTGACTTAAAATATTTGCAGGAAAACAAATATTGAAGATTTAATATTTTAGGCGTTTTCATAACTGGAACCCCATAAACAACTTTCCTCAAATGAATGGATATTTAATTCAGATAATTTATATTCCTCGTCACTATATGCATACATTTCTAATATCACTCACATCAACAATTTTACGAATAAATTTCATTTTAACTAAAGTTTTTTCAATTAAAACGCAGATTAATCCAATTTAGAGTCATTATACGTAATAATAATAGGTAAGGCAAGTAATTATAGGCAAAAAACTTCATTCCGCTTATGATATGAACACAATGAACAACGGAACAGAATAAGTAATGCAATGCAATTCATAACATACACCTAGGACCAGGACCCATAACACTCTTAGACCACATTCCCATAATTGCTAACATATATATCTGCTAATCCCATACAAATAGCCAACCGTCCTCGCAGATCCTTCCATTGAGCCGTCTGGACCTTATACCAACAAACACTCAGAGCACACAGCACTTGCACAACCCGACCCTACGTAAAAAGAAATAGAGTTAATAGACACACACTTAGAAAACTGAACGAAACTCGCCTATAGAACGCCACCTATACCTCAATCCCCGCGGTAACACACAGCATTATATCCGGCATCAAACTCACGCACGAATCATTACTTGTACATTATAGTGTGGAGCGTTTTATCAGCATTTTCGGGTTCACAATTGTGCGGAAAAGTTGCGGATGTGCAAAGGAACTATGTGTGCAAGATTTTAGACCTCTAGGCTGAAAATTGAAACTTTTTCAGCTTTGACACCGAATCCTCATTTCCCATCTCTGTTATCATAGATGAATGATATTATATTAAAATCTAATTATATTTTGATGTAATTTTATTTTGAACACTATGCAAATGCTTTTGGTAAAAGAAAATATAATCGAAGAGACGAAGAGCTAGGTATTGTAAGCGGCTGCATGAGATTCGTCAACGAATGCCGCGGCTATAGAGCGGAAACAAAAATCGAGCAGAGGATCATCAGAGATCCCCACCGAACAATGAAGATCCCGTACGGAGCAAAAATTCAGGCAAATCGATCGTCACTCGCGACATTGCCCTCATCCTTGTAACAATTGACGCTGATGTTGGTCCAACGAGCTTATATTTTCATCATTATTCCAAAACAGTCCGATTCAATTTGATCCAACATAAGATGCCATTTTCCCTGCCATCCATCTGGTTTCGATTGCTCGCTATTTTTCATAACTGATTTAAACAGGTGACCATGGGGTGTTAAATAACACGCACTTCATTTATACGAGCGAGTTTTAACTCGTATTCTAAATT